CAATTGTAGGCCGTCGGTTAATGGAGATGCTGCCAGGATTGATACCAATTTATTTGTCATTATGAAGTTAAGTACTTAGATTGTACATTGCGGACGTTTATCAAATGAGAGAATCTTCTTAAACAATTTAGGCAAAAACGGCGTGGATCATTTTCTTCTATTCTCCATAATGTGCTTTGTATTGCAAAAGCTTTTGGCATACATAATTTAAAACCCGAGTTCTACGGTCAAAACAGTTCTCTACATCTAATTCCTTTGTGCATTGATTGCTTGAATCTTTCCATCAATGTTTAAGATTGCAATTGATCGGTCTCTTATTGACATATATGCATCTTGTGTAGATGGCCTCGATGTTACTTTAAGTCACAAGTATTACAACAGAGAGAAACGATGGCTATCAGTGGAATCCAGGACGTGCGTTTTGTCCTACTTGGAACTCGTCAGTCAGATGTACCTGCATCCCTGTATCGTTCGCTTCAAACACCATCGCGTTATCAGTTTAATTACTGAGTCCAGATAGCCAAAAGTACAAAAATGAACAAGAAATTCACATTATTGTACAAGCTAGTGACTTTTAAGTATATAAATAAACTATACAGATTATGAAAATGTAATATAATTAGGTTTTTTTTCCGAAATTTGTTAACTGCTAGTAATTTGGATCCAATATAAATATTGTTCAACGGTTTTTATTCATAAATGTGTATCCTTAGAAGAAGTTTCCATGAATTTAGAATCCTTAAAACCTACATTTGTACACATTGATTTATCGATGAACTGAATTAAAAGTAAAAAGTTAATTAAAGGAAATGTCAGAAGGAAAGAAATATAACGAACAAAATTATATACTGTATTAAAGATATAAATAAAACTCCGAATTGAAAGTTGAAACTCTAGGTCATCACCAAACCTGTTCAACGAATAATATTTTTGTATTAAAGCATTTTAAATACAGCCAAAATATATTATTCCAAGTTATATGTGAATAATTCAATTATTTACTTATTTTTCATAATCGCATAATATGTTGTAGTTTATTACGATCTTAATAACGAGTTGGATGAGAAATTTGTATCTGTATAATTGAATTTTTGTTTTTATCCCTAAGGGTATACTTCTGACATACTTAATGATCAAATGAATGAAAAATATTTGAAAATTTAGGTTACTTAATGAGTTCATAACTGATCAGTACCAATTGATATAATATGTAGAAATTATTGAAATCGAGTTTAACATTCAGTAATCTTGAGGCTGTATTCATATTCAGTGTGAATGATGCATATACATATTTACAATTTGGATTGGAAAACTATGTTGTTCATCTATGCCAAATCGGTTTGTACGCTATTCTGTAAATACTATTCTTTAATTAGGATTTTTATCATTAAGTATGCATAATTAATCTTATTTAAATATTTCCATAGGACCTTTTGAATAGGTCACTATTAGCTATAATCAAAATGAATTTAAATTGGGAAAATGAATGCCTTTATTGTGTAAAACATATTTTTGCTAAACATGTAATTTTTGCATTTTCAATGGACACATCTGGTATGTATTGTGATTGGTGATATGAAAGTAATTCTCTCTCAAAATACATAGGTATGTTACAGAGATATATAGTTAAAAGAGTAAAACGTAGGGATGGAATACAATAACTGACTAAACCTAAATCAAATCAATCAACCTTATATTAAGGAGAAATATATGTAGATTTATGATACTATCCATTTAATGCGTATTATAACCTGTACTTAGATATTTTAAGATAAATAAAGACATCTACATAATAGAACTATTGTATTTATAGAAGATTGTTTATGCAAAACAAATTAGTTAGACATGGATTACCATGAGTATACTTCAAGTTTTTATTTCAATTTCAATATCCGAAATTCATGAGATTTCAGACATATTCAATCACAAAATAGATTTATATCAAGAACGAATAAAAAGGTTTTATCTTTCCAAAAAGGTTTCTAATGTATAAAATATACAAGTTCATTGAATTATTGTTAATGAATAGATGAATATTATTTATTGCCTTAACAATGAATCAGTTATGTTTACCAATGAAACAATTTTATTATCTAAACTTTTTAATATTAACAGAATTGCTTAAAACTTTAGTTATTAAAAGAGTTATTCGATTCTGTGAACATTGTTTAGTACAGTTTTAGTTTTGTCTGACATATTTTTTCTCTTTACAAAATGGATTTTACATCAGAGGGGTTTTGTGGATATTATAGTAAGTTCAATAGTTGAAATCATGAGTCAATTGAAGTTAGACCACCATGGAAAACGTGGGAACACTGGACGGTCGTTTTGTCCTATTGTGTGACTCCTCAGCAGTGCGCATCCACGACCCCATCGCGCGGGATTTGAACCCAGGACTTGACAGTCTTGCGCGCGAGCGCTTAACCACCAGACCACTGAGCCGGCCTACATCCAATGATGTTAATGTCTAACTTCAACCAATCCACAAAATTGAGCGACAAATCCTCCATTGTCATCAGTGAGTTAATATCTCACAACAGATCCAGTTGAACTCCACTGGTCACTGCTTCTCACTCGAACTCTAGGAAATACCTCTTGGAGCTAGTTACTAGAGAGCGTATGATGATTCATATCAACAGTAACACCGTTTGATGCCGGCCAACTCAGTGGTCTAATGGTTAAGCGCTCGCGCACGAGACTGTTAGGTCCTGGGTTCGAATCTCGTGGGGCGTGATCATGGATGTTCACTGCTGAGGAGTCCCGCAATAGAACGAAACGGCCGTCCAGTGCTTCCAGGTTTTTCATGGTGGTCCAACTTCAAATGACTCATGGTCTCAACCACTGAAATTATATGGTTAAAATTATGAAAATAATTTTTTTAAAAAGTCTATCAGTGTGAAAAAATAAAAAAAACAAAAGCGTTTCTATGTTCATTTTCTTTTTTTTTATTCTTTTGATTAGAAAATGTTTTTCCTAAGAAGTAAAATCATACAATTATTTCTGTCAATTTTTACATACCTCTCATGTATAAGTTGATTATGAGCTATAGAAAAAATTAAAGGGAATTCAATAAAAAATTTTCCCCTTTCGATATTGATAATAAAAAAAGAAACGAACTTACAGAAGTAAATTATAAAGTTTTTTCCAATTTAGGTATAAAATTGGATAACACTTGGATAGTAGAGGAATAATTGCTCATTCATCAACTATTGGTATAAAAATTAAAGAAAAGAAAAAGAAAACAGGATAGTAATTTAATTGTAATTAGAATATTTAAAAAAAATTAAAATAAGTTTAAAAGTGGACATAAAATGAATAAGTGGTTAGTGTTTAATTGGTAATAAAAAGTGAGGATTCATATAACTAACTGAAAGCTTTAACTGTACCATAGGTAGCATGGTATTATAGATTATTGAAAACCTTTAAAACAACAAATACATTACCGAACGATCAAATAGTTGATCTGTACAAATATTATCCTATCGTATGCATAATCTTTTTCTGTTCAAATATTAAAACCTTTTAACACTACAGTTTCATATGCCTGTAGCTAAAATACTGAACTGATAAATGAACTATTTTACCTAAAACAAACACTACAAAAATATATGAAATAATTAACAAACTTTTAGTCCCTTCATTATCCTGACAAGAGCAAAATATTTTAATCAGTTGAGGTGATGTATTTTGAGATGTTTTATAGTCAGATGATTATTTATATCACTGACTGACTTTCACTATACAAATGTAGAAAAAACATTTACTTAAATGAGACACTGCAAAGCTATCGAACACAAGGACTCATAGAGATCACATTACTCTTGTACCGTAATCACATCTGCTTATTAGTAAACATCTAAGGAAATCCTAAAATTTCGAGTGAAAGACCATGAATATTGATAGTATTTAACCAATTCATAAATGAGATAAAGATCATTGAGGACAACGGACAACGAACTGAGAATATTACGAATTATAAGTCAGTCTGTAAGGTACGATTAAATAGTATATCGATGTAAACTGATGAAAAATACTACTTATTTTCTGTTATTGTAAAAACTTTACAGTACACATCATCAATACAACTACAAATCCGGCAGCTGAATTCAAAAGTGATTTGAGGTTTCAAAAAATGGAGTACTTCTATCGATTGAAAATAAATTTCGGTCTTCATAGTTATAGTGCCTTTAAATAGCATGTTTATAGGAAGCACCTCCTTTTAAAGTGGCTGATAACAGAATTAAATCTGTTGAGTCAAATCGTTAAGTACATTCATCGTTTGCGGTATATCAGCAATTCACATGATTTATATTTTTGTGTCGGATATCATTACCGTATTCACTATGAATTTTTGTTTATTCCAAATACATCAATATAGCTTATTAACTTAAGCAAGCAATTCATTAGTAGCCACTGCTGATTGGTCACCACTCAACGATCAACCGTTGTATATATCTCAGTCCTAGGGGATATTGTTCGTTGTCCTAAAACTTTAGTGTTGAAGCTAAGTGATGAAGGTTGAGGTAGGACCACATTCTTCAGAATTACTGGTATATCCTGACAACCAACATGAAACCTAGGTCTAGGGCTTTCTGTTGACCATTTGCAATGCCTTAAATGTTAGTGATTCACATGGACCACAAGGAATAATGAATAACTACTTGTTTATCGGGTTTTTTTAGATGAAACTTTACTAAATCAGTGAAATCTTCATAGTTTGTTCATAAAACTTGCATCATTAATCTGTGTTATCGGATCTATTTGTTTATTTAAGGTTCTCAGTTCATACATATACTCAACATAATGTCGTCACAATAAATTACTTGATGATCACAAAACCAAAGCTTGATAATAACAGTTTAATAAACAAATATACATAAATCATTTTCGTTAACGGTAACTATTTGGTTCTAGTAAAGAGTTGTCAGTGAACAATAAGAAAACATATTGCAACAAAATTATTTACAATCGCAAACATTTTTTTCCTTTTCATAAAATAGATGCTTCGAATGTAATCATGTTTCATTCATTTGGAAGATAACAGACAAAAAAAGAAAATATGTCAACTTCTTTGATGGTTTCGCTTAATTTTTACACTACTGCGATATACCTCATTCGTTTAGTGCCAAACAGGTGAGTAAATTATATCTTTGATATCATTAAGACATATGAAGTCTTGGAAATAAATAATTCACGAAATTTCACATTTAAACGATAGGTACTCTAGTCTTTTCGCACTGTATATGTGCATTTATGTCCACAATAGTCACTAACTAATACCTGGAGAAAAAATTATGTGAATCCTATTTTGTATAAGGTTTGTTTATTGAGAATAAGCCAAACTTTCAAGTTAGTTGAGTTTTACTTCACTTTAGCGAAACGGTTAGTCGAATAAATCTTATTCAAATGGTATTTTTAAAGACAAAATATCAAAGTTTCGATATGAACCGATGTCAAGATTTACAGTACTTTTTAGAATGCAAATAAGTAGCTGTTAATATTGTATATTTTAGGTGAACAAAAATCTCAATTAGAAACACATTACCGTTACCGTTCAGCAACATCAGAGTTAAGACATTTGTCTCTTATAATTATTAATTAACTGCACTTAGCTGTGAGCAAAATCGGATAAAAACTCATTGTTTTACTTAGAAACGTGATCTTTGTAATACAATGAGGTCCTTAGTTTTGTCTCCGGTAGGGGCATTTGTGAGCTTTGGTGAAATCCCAGTTCGTAAACAGATGTCCAGAGTTTTATAGTTTTCAGCAGTTGTTTGAGTGAGGTCAGTATATGATGTGATCAGCCTTCAAATAGTTAAACAGATGTTTTATTGAAAATACCTGTTGGTTTTTAAGTAGTTAACTTTCCCTAACTAAACAATCACTTTTATTTCGGTTTATCTAAATTATTTTAAAACTTCAAAATGCCTGTTACATGATATATTTGGCTTTGTAAACCTTTTAAAAAACTCATTTGCATGATGTATGGAAATGTAGAGACCAATCATAATTCATGAATGTGACTTCTTGAGAGTTCTACTGACTGAATTTGGGATGTTCGAACGATCGAATTACAGTTGCGTTCTAAAGTTTAATCTACTGATGAAATATCTGAAGCCCACTGGTTCGGTTGCTATCGGGGAGATTTGTGCTCAGCGTTGGGTACTGAAATGCTAGAATGAAACCGTTTTCTAATAATCCTTGGCTTTTATTGTCAGGCTAGGTGATAACAATCGCACTGTTTCAGATTTTTTCATCACAATTACACCAATTCACTCGACACGTCCCCAAATCAGAACACAGTTGAACAGAAACGAAATTATATTACAACTAACAAGGGTAGATGAAAGTAAGAAAAACGTTAATGTATTTATAGTTTTAACGTGAAACGATTCTAGAGTCTTCTTCAAGCATCCACTAGCGTCGATTGGATAAGAAATAGCCAATCAGCGTGTACCAACATAATCCTGCACGGAGCATACTTTAATCATATATACATTCCAACAATTGAGATCATGAATCAATTGAAGTAAGACCACCATGGAAAACCTGGAAGCACTGGACGGTCGTTTCGTCCTAATGTGGGACTCCTCAGCAGTGCGCATCCACGATACTATTATTACCGGATGGATCTATACAGATAAATGTGTAACTGGGACATTTCTGAAGAGAGAGAGATGAGGCAGGGGCGACTAGAGTAAAAGTGGAATAAGCGTATAGTTTTACACTGGACTCAGGCAGTCAATTATATCAAGAGTGAGAGCATCTTGTAATGGGTTATAGATGACAAAATAGCTGACTTTACCACATCCGGACTTAGCGTCTGTTACCTAGAGAATAGATTATCTTAAATCTTTTGGGAATTTATTAAATATTTAAGCTCAAATCTCCAAATTTATTACTAATAAAACGAATGGGTCTGGAGCAACTTACGGATCTTCAATCCTATTTCTAGTCATGTAGGTTCATTTTCAAAAATAACGGTAAAGATGTTCAAAGATTCAGTTTATTAAGTGAAAATTTCAAAAAAACTTACCCTAGGGCTTATTTTATTGTGAAGTGATGTTTATTCATTAATGAATTGTTGAATATATAAATAGATACTGGTTCGTTGCATTTTTTTGGTGTTATAGTTGAAAATATATGGTGATGATGATGGGGGGGGATAGTGTTCATTTGGAGGAATCTATTATTTAGTCATTATTTCTTCCCTAAACAAATTGAGGTATGAATATTCCATTACAAAATGAAAATATTGAAATTATTTGTTTGTCCAGTGAAATATTTTTTTATTTACAAGTTTATATCAAAAGAATTAAGTTATAAATAAATGTTCGGAAGTTCCATTAGGGATCTTTTTTTTCAAAACAGAGATTGATTTTTCAACCTTAATCAAAAGAACAATATTTCAGTAATTTATCTAAAAATGTGTCACAATTATTCTGTTCCAAATGTTAATATTTAACTTCAAATAAACAAAAAAGTTCGAATCGGTCATATACATATATAACAAATATTTTGTTAATAAAAGGTATTAACAATGATTATATATTCCCTCTTTGTGTTATTCGCCCTTGAATTGGTTAGGTCAAGCATAATAATCATAATTCATTCATTCCATTCATATTAATATTTTGTATTTTGTGTAATAGTAAGGAGTATTTGAGAAATCAAAGAAAAATATTGTTTCCATTTGACGGGTTGATGATTATATTTCTCTCAATAATGAATATAACTACTGCCCTGTCATGTATATTCAGTTAATTGCTTATTGGTTCACAATTTGACTGTAGATCAACAATAGGCAATTCAGATTTTACATAAAGTTGCACATATGCCAATATGAGACTGATCAGTTGCAGTCCTAAATAACAATGTGAAGATATAAATAAAACAACACCAAGTGAATTTAAGTTTTTTTTATTTAAATAAACGCTTGTTATACAATATTGTCGATAATTATCTAAAAGTTATATGAAGTAACATCAGTGTAGTTCAAACTGTAAATTATGACTTTAGAAGAAAAGGATTATCTGTCAACCTATTTTATCACTGTCCAGAAATAATGAATAGATAAGGATAAGAAAACACTATTTTTAACATTTTCGGTAATTTATAGCTTGAAATTTGAACACTGGAATATCATTCCTTCTAAGGGTGGGACTCCACAGGGATGCGTACATGTGCAGTTACCAAAGGTGAAATCCAGAGTATTTAGTCCTTGTTATAGTAGTTTAACCTTAAAATTGATGAGATGACGTCAAATACATCATAAATCTAATTTCAATCTAACGTTATGAATGGTTATATATATATAGTTTTGTTTTCATAGACTGATTATTTCTGTCTGTAAAACATTGATCAAGGCCACTATAAATAAACGAATCAATAACTTTAATTTATATTGATTAGTTATTAACAAAATGTAAGAACAAACCAATGGAGTAGAAAAGATCTGATCTTTCTGAAAATTCTCTTAATGATAGATAATAATAGTAATAATGGTTGATTGCATTTTTATTGTATGTTTAGATCAAGCAAGAGATTATCGGTTTGAATTGCTAAACAAGAACGGTGACAAATTTAATCCAGCATTTAATAAACAATGACCTTGGAATAGTGGGTACCTCTTGTAACCAGTTCAATAGAGTTTGAATACGGTCTATCTCATAAGGCATTTACACGTATATATATGGCGTAGACTAATGCATTTGTGTATCAAAATTTATGCGTACATTCTTATGCATTTGTGATATTTCATGATAAAATGAAATTTCTTAAAGTGGTTCTGTTAATGAAAAATCCTTTCGAAATCATGCCTAATCAGGTTTGATAATTTTTATTGCAACTATTTACGACGGTTTTATAACTTAGAACTATATAGTTAGTGATTTTGACTTTTCTTCAGGGATTCCCACCAGGTTTTATTGACTTTGTATCCATTATGATTTTAAGGAAATATTTTTTCTTCAAAAGGTGGAACGAGAAATAATGGACGACCTGTGAGGAACACTAGAGTGACCTTGATAATGTGCATCCAATTACTGAGGTTATAAATTAGTGTGGAGAGTTACTATTAAAATTTACAGTTGGATATTAGGGTTAGGAATTTTATTTATGTTTTTCACCACAAGTAACATAAGCTATAATGCCGAAATGCTATTTACTCAAATGGATGAGTGAATTTTCACCAAAATTCAAAGACCTGTTGTTCTAAATCTGATTAGTTTGTCCATAAATTATAGACTTGTCCCTCAAAATATTTCTATTAACAATTGAACAGCTATAGTGCTAAGTTACATATTGACCGAAATTAAAATTGTTAATCATCATATTATGATTTCTTAGCTACAGAAAGATTCATGATTACTAGATTCCATTTTTTATTTGATTAATTCTATACTTAGATTTTACAGTGGATATCTGAGATTTTATAATAACCTAATCATTTTGTACAGTATAATAAACCGTCCTTCTTAGCTATTAATTCTGAAGTTAACGAATATCTTTTAGTGTTTTCTACTGAGCAATGTGAAATACGGATGGATTTCGTTCTGAAACTGTTAACAGATCTAATATATGTTTACTTTGTGTCTAATATATACCGATTATTTTGCTTCCAGCTGACTAGTTTCACATATCATATTCGAAGAAAACATTATGTTTATTTGCTTGCGTGGTATGTCTTCATTAACGATTTTTCTAGTGAAAAGACATCATTCGTGAAACAAACATTTTCACAAATTACAATAATGTAATGTTTTACATAAGTTTAAGAAAAAAAACCAGTCACACACAAACAGATCTTTACATTGTTGATATTTGTCAAAACAAGTTTTCATAAAAAAAGGCTATTCTTAGCATTTAAAAAGTCTAGAATAATAAGAATGAACTGAATTTGAAATTAAGAAACAAATTAATTAATATCACTGACTTTACAAAAACAACCCCAAGAGAGACAAAGAAGTAATGAATTAGAACAGCTACAACTTGTCAAGAATAATCTTTGAAAATTAGATCGCAACTGTATTGATAAGAATTTATTAATTGTTTGGAACTAACTAAGGCTTCGTAGTTTAGTTCTTATATAATCTCTGTTAGACGCAAATAAAATGACTTATTACTATGCACGG